TATCTGATGAACGTGACATGCTCTTGCTCTCTGTAAATAAAGCAAAGCCACTTCCTCGTCCGACATTAAACAGAGCCCGACAGAGGAGGGAGGGGCGGGGAGGCTCTTACCGTGCAGCGCTTCAAGAGCTGACCTGCGTCTGACCTCAAAGTGCACAAGCGACCAACTTCAGTGTTGGATGAGATTTTGAAGCTGAAATCGCGTTCGGTGTGAACGCAGCATAAGTATGTTTTGTATACAAAAATAATTGTTTTGAATAAATATTAGTTTACATTGGGGTTTTTTTTGAAATTGCACAACAAACCTTAGACTGAGAAAATTTATTTCTGAATCAAAAATCGTTTCAGAATCAAACAGTCACCATAAAATTGGAATCGAATCGCAAGACTGTGAGATTCGCACCCGTCGTGCACTGCAGGTAGATTTAGAGAAGAAAAACTTAATGTGTGAGAAGCTTTTAGTTTAGCCCCAACACCTAAACAGTGACAGCTTTGCAATGTCATTGTAAATAACTCTGCATTCGCACTGAAAACTTGTTCCACTGAAGAAAAAAAAAAGCAGCTGCAGCATAAAAAGGAGCATCATGATGTGTTTTTCAATGTCACGGTCTCTTTTTTCAGTTTTTATTTTTCAATGACAATGTTTTGTTTTTAAAATGTTTTAATTTACAATATTTTATTGTTCAATGCCAAATCTCTTTCTCAATGTAACCTGTCACTATTTTAGCTCCATGATCTCCAAGATTTTTTTTCTTGACTAGGGGGATGGGTGCTGTGCTTTGACCATAAATTGGAAAAATATCAAGAATACCATTTGTCCCCTACTTGTTTACTTCTCATGTGAGGTAGAGCCATGACGTCATAATTTTGAGTTTTTGCTCCAAGAAAAGCAGTTTAATTTTCCCATAGGAGAAAAAAATATGTTTCCAACAACTGAACATAAGGTTACTTCATGTTTTCAGTCCAAATATCAACCAGTTTGACTCAACACCCAAAACGTTTTGTTTTAACCAAAAAATTTGAAATTGTAATATAAAACTTTGCTGTTATGCTCGATCTTTGAGGAGAAGGCGAATAAGTAATTTTTTGAGTTTTTAGGATTAATGTCTCAGTAATCCAGGCAAAAAAATCAAAAAGAAAAAAATTGTATAGGTCTTCTGGACAGGTTCTTCTCTAATGAAACGTTTCGTCTCTCCTCCAAGAGACTTCTTCAGTCTGAGAGTTTAATGAAAATGAAGACCCCAAACCCAGACCCAAACCAGTGGTTATTCCGTATGTTGCTGGTGTTTCGGAGAAACTGAGACGTTTATTTTCTAAACATGATGTCCCAGTGGCTTTCAAACCCCAAAACACATTACGAGCAACCAGCTCGTAATGTGTAACCAGCTTTGGGGTGAACCAGCAAAGGCTGGTTCACCCCAAAGC